TTGCTGTTGTCTTCTTTTTTAATGTTGTCTTTTTTTCTAATGTTCTCATATTGACTACCCACTGTCAGGTAGTGATCAGTGACAGAGATCCTTCTCCAAAGCTGAGCTGCCAGGCTATAGTTGATTTTTTTTTTCTTATTAGAATGTCTTCTGCACAGCTTCATCTTCCATGCCAGTGAATTTCATTCTGGTTCTCTTACTGTCCTGAAGATCATTTTGTTTTAACTGTATTCCTGTCCTCCTCTGCATGGACTGCATTTCCATTGTTGTATTAACAGCAGGTTTTATCATTCGTTCACAGATGTTTTTAATAAAAACTGCTGGTAAACTCCCTCTGCAGCAAAATTTTTTCCTTTCAGAACTCTATGGTGCGTTTCCCATTTAGCCAGCATCTTATCAAATTTGTCTGTATTCCTTCTCCAGCTTCAATAATAATTTGTGATAACACTATCAGCTGTTTTATTGAAGTCAAAACAATTGTTAATTACCACCCTGCTTGTGCCTAGACAACTCATTAATGTACCAAAGAAAGTTAGAACAGCAGCAGTAAGCCTGAAAAACAAAACATGAACAATACTTTTTCATATATGGGCTGTGCCACCTCCAGTTGTATTGGTAAAGTCATCTGAAGATCAAAATGCCATAAATTATAGATTCTGTGGAGTAATTTGGTCTCTATTTTGCACAGAACCAAGCAGAGTCAACAAAAAATCACTCTTGCTAAAATGGAGCAAAAAGATCTTCATTTAGCTGTAGCACGTGTCCATAAAGCACTGTTACCATTAATTCTTTTCAAAATATTGCTTGTTGTTTTGAGCTCAAAAATCACTCTTGCTAAAATGGAGCAAAAATATCTTCATTTAGCTGTAGCACGTGTCCATGAAGCACTGTTACCATTAATTTTTTTCAAAATATTGCTTGTTGGTTTTGAGCTAATGACTTTGGGAATTTTTAATGTTAATTTACATATCAATACTAAAAAGATCTGTGAGAAGTAGAAAATCCTGTTCCTGGCAGTAAGAGCTCATGTAGTTTATGTTCCAGGTTAGTAGTAAAATTGAGCATTTTTCCATTGTTTCTAGCAAAAAATGGAACGGAACAGTAATGTTACTTCTTGTTTAGGAAAAAAAAAAAAGTATTTTGCAATAAAAACAGAGAGAGAACCACAGATGGTGGTAAAGGCTCAGAATCAGGTACACCTGACAGTTCTGAGGACACTGTGACTATCACTGTTCTAACTTCATTCAAGTGACTGCTGGCTCTATCAGATAGAACCTCCTTTAATTCTCAGGGAATTGCTTGATTGCTGTCCATCTTCTGGACTGTAATGGAGACACTAAATCTGTGTAAGAAAAATCATACAAAGGGAGGAGGCGTAAAATTACAGGTCTCACCTCCATTTGGTCAGAGAATGATTACACCACAGAAGTAGCTAAATGTCTGGTATGTCTGAGAAAAGGCACACTTTAGCTTTCAGCATCAGTAACTGACTGTGCTTCCTTTTTAGGACGAGGAAATTCAGGACCTTCACAGAGAGCGCCAAAATCTGGGAGGTCTAGTTCTTTAGATGGAGACCATCACGATGGATTCCACAGGGACGAGGCTTTCGGCGGAGGCCCTGCAGGAGGCAATAACCCTTCTCGAGGAGGGAGGAGTGGAAGTAATTGGGGAAGAGGAAACAACATGAACTCTGGTCAATCAAGAAGAGGATCATCTAGGGGTGGTGGAAGAGGCCGATAGAAGAGGCTTTGACTGGGTGACACCCAGTCCTTGCTGGACAATATTTAAATAGACTGATACTCTGGACTCACAAAGTAACCCTGCAACACCACAAACCTGGATTCTTAACTGGGATAACAGAATGTGCATTAGTTCCTAATAAGGGTCTTTTCCTAGATCAGCCAACTGCTACTAGCTGCAATCTTGTAGCTAGCTTTCTGTTTTGTCCTCTCCACCCCTTTTCCTCACCTTCTTTTTACCTACTTTGTTTTGTGAAGAGCTGGAATTTTTTTTATTAAGTGTTGTGAGACATGGAGCACAGATTTCAGTTCACCTCCAGACAGAAACTTGTTTCTATATGTACAGTTTGTCAAAGAGTTACGTTGTTTTTGTATGAATACAGAATGTAATTTGCGCAAAAATTAACAAAAAAAATCAACACAGTGTGTGATTCTTTACTCACCTATTACTCTAAAGCAGGCAAACTTGTGTATCAGATGGAGCGACAAAACTACCTCCTGAAATCTCAACTGTTTAAGATATTAATAGCTGATTCCTAGGATTTTTTGGTTTATCATGTATAGAGAACTTTTCGTTTTCCTCTTTAGCCACAGCTGTCTACAGATTACAAGTGGTGCTGACGTTAAAATTCCGAAACACGGGAAATCACCGCTGCTTGCTAGTCTACCATCCTGAAAGAGAAAAACGTGGAACACCATTTAGAGAAAGTTGTCACAGACATAGCACGAGTTACAATCTGGAGCGCTAGCAAAACAGACATGGTGACAAATACTGTCATTCTGCACTTCACCTCAGGGAGTTAAGTGTTTTTTCTTCAAAGCAGCATCTGTTTATAGAACATAAGTGTCAAGGTTGAGGCTGGGCTGGCCACTAAATGAATGAGATGCTCTCTATTAGCCCCTTTCCCTTCCGAGAAGGGGAAGGGAGAGAAAATGAAGGAGACTTATGGGTTGGGGAGAAAAAAAAAACAAACAAACAACCTGGCTGTAATGAAATATTAACAATAAAAAGAAAAGATAATAAGAAGAAAATAATGAAATATATACAAAACCAGTATCGAACTCCCATCACCATCTCGTCACTGGCCAGCACTAGCACTGGTGGCAGATGGGAACTGGATGTGAGAACTGCATTTAGGAAGAGACAGTTTGGGATCAAAGGCAGAAGAACGGAGAGTCTTCCTCGGATACTGGCCATTGAAGAGGGGGGCTGACCCTTTGATCCCTCAGCTTTCACACTGAGCGTGGGGCAGATGGGATGGAATACCCTGTTGGTCAGGTTTGGGTCACCTCTCCTGTCCACTCCTCCCCATAGGTGTGACCCTTTTCCATTTCCAACCCTCCAACGGGGCAAATAATGGCATTAGCTGGCCCTGGTTGGTAGAGCAGTAAGTCTAAGCAGGAGCCTCTCTCTCTACCATTCCTTGGCATTCACTATAAGCATCATGTCTTAGCCCTGCTAGAAGTTAATTTCAGAATGTGCAGTCAGTTAGAAGGGATTTAACCGAAAACTAAAATTACTGAAAAGGAAAATTGGTTTTGCTCTATCTCAAACCAGGCCACCGAGGAAGAAAGAAGTTCAGCAGCTTGATTAATAGGGATGCATATATTTTACAATGGCTGTAGGACACATTGCTTAAAGATAACGGGTGGTCAGTAGAGTGTAGTCCATTCAAATGCTGAAGTGCAAACCTTGCTCGTTGATCACTTTCATCTTCACTTTTTTTTAAAGGATCTTTTTCTTTAGCATATTGTTGCCTAGTTTTACTAGAGCAGGGAAATGAGGAGGAGGGGTTATTCCCATTTGCTAAATTTCATAATAAAGCTGCTTACCAACCGTGAGTTTCTCTTTTCCCCATAAATCATTCATATGAATCATCTCCAGTCACCGGGTTAATCAAAAGGCTCCTTTAATACCTAAAGCCTCAGTGAAAATTTTACTGTGTAAGTACATGTTCTAAAGCCAGCTCTCAGGAAGGTCCTGCATTAAAAATATAGGATATAAGGTATAATGAAAAACATCACTACCAGGCTTCCCTCTTCTCCTCGAGTTTCACGTTATAATATTCAGGATAATATGGCACCAAAGTTCTGTAGTTGACAAGGCTCCTGCAACAACACAGTGACACACAGCAGCTCTTTTATCTGACTTCTCACTGCCAAATTTCCTGCAGGCTGGCTGAAGTCCTGCTGACCCATCTTATTTAAAGAGCTCAAAGCATAGATGCTTAACTGCTGTTCTCTTGGACCGGTCAGTTACAAGTAGAGTTTTGGGGTTTTTTTTCTTACTTTTTAATTTTTAGTGTATAAAATGGCATTTGAAAATTGTCATAATTAACTCCAATCATTAGCCTATAAAATCCTTGTCATGGGGCTCTAGAGAGACAGAACGGTCTTCAAGGAATTAATTGGGTAACAGCTGAGATGCACCTGGTAGGACACAGTTTCTCCTGAGAGGGGTAAAAAAATTAATTGCTTTTTACCCCTATCTGAAGAAGGGCTTTGGTCACTTTTGGTCTAAGTCTGGGAGTTAGGATCTATCCTAGAATTTTAATGATAAATACCAGTAATTTAATCATCAGCAGAAGGGAAAGCTTCCCCCCTCTTTTTCAACAAGCCCTATATATTTTTAAGGGGCTGAAAGTGACTTTGGTCTAATAGTTAGAATATGTGATTTAGAGGATGAGCTTTAGTCCTTAATTAAACCACAACCCTCTACCAAAACAAATTATAGTGCACCTAATAATAGTAAACCAGGCTTGCTCTACCTAGACAAAAGGGAGTGTGCCCATTTTCCCTCAGATGGCTGGTTAACTCCTTAAACCACTGCGGATGGTACTTGGTGCTAAGTAATATTTTTCCTCAAGGGGCAGCTTTTTAAATATTCCATGATTGTGGAATATGCACAAAAAGTCATAAGAAAATTGGATAAATACCTAGCCTTTGTATATAATCTCAGAAGGTGACAGCACAGCAGGAGAGACAGAAGCAGCTTCCCAGTCTGTGATACCATGACCCACTGTTGCTGGAAAATGGATGAAATTAATAAATGGGAATATACTTCTGTACTCTTCAGGGTAAGTTCTGTTACCAGTGCTGCAATCCTTATGCTCCACCTTGTCTAAAATTTGTTAAATCTGATACTCCTCTTGGGAATAAAATTATATACTACAGCTTAGAAATTCTAAAAACGAGAGGACTAATTTAATGCTACATTTCTAAGGAAAAAAAGTGACCATTAGTGGAACGTCTATACTGATATTTGGTAGACAAATAGTTTTATTAAAACAATCTATGTACATTTAAGTACCCCCATTTATTTAACAATTTCAGTTTAATCCGGAGCAAGTATTAGATGAATACGCTAAACCCTAGGTCGTGACAGCAGATAAATATTGCAGTGTTTGGCTTTATTTTGTAAGAGGCACCTATATTCAGTGAGATCCTCACTTAGGCTCTGAGCCAGTTAGGCCTGGTGGTCCCTTTTGTGTGCCGTAGTGCAGTACACAGCCCAGCCTGAAGCACCAGGCTCTCGGCAGGGACTGCCAGCCTGAATTCAGCATCTTCCTACAGCTGCTTCGTTTCTGCACTGAAACAGAGCTGCACTGGCTGAAACAGGCTCTAATTACTAACAAATCTATTTTTGAAGGTCGTGCTGTGACGAGTCAGCAATTCCTGCCCAACTTGAGAGAGCAAAAATATATATATATTAAAAATAAAGTTCTAAAAGCTGAAGCTCCCTTTTAAAGCCCAAGTATTTGCTACGTTACAGCAGCCGTAAGGCAGCAATACCTGCAAAGGCTCTTCACTAAGATTAGCACCTTCCATCCTATCATCACCATGCAAGAAGACTACTCTTACAGATACAAGTAGTCCTTGTGACCCACAGCCCCAGGAAAGTTGGTTTCACTTACTGGCTGGTGTTTTAAAGATGGTTTTTAGAGAGAAACGCAGTTCAGTGGACACAGTATTCATATTCACCAGCAGTCTGAGGTGGCTGATGACTGCACCGTACAGCGACTAAAGTATGTGTCAGAGCAGAGGGGTCGGCACAAAGATGAGTTAACTATTTTTGAACCTTCCCCCCCACACCTGACCAGATTTCACTACGTTGTCTCCGTGTTTCACCATCCCTCAGCCCTACGCACCTCAGCTGTTAAGACACTTGCTGTTCACGTTGTTAACAGGCAAGTCAATAATTACATTTCATGGGCTCCGCAATCTCACTCACGTTTCGAAGTAGGCTGCAGCAGCCCCATGGTCCTATACTGGAGGTAGGGAAGTGGGATGCTGCCAGCTCCCAGCCGGAGCGACTCCGGACCATGGCTATCGGGCTGACTTTGCAATAAGGCAAAATCCCGCGCTCGGGGAGGGCTGGGCAGGCTGGCACCGCCACCGCAGCCGAACGAGCTCAGAGAGTCACTGCTGCCGCTCCCGGGTGCCAGCCGCGGCTCCTCTTCCTCGGGAATCGGCGAGGGGAGAACCCAGCAGGAAGGCGAAGGAAGAGAAGTGGCGGGAGACGGCGCCATCCCCATGGCGGAGAGGTGTCTTCGTGCCCGGGGGCCAGCCGCAGTCTCTCAGTCCCTTCGCCCCGCCGGGCTGCGGCCGGTGTCCCCGCCTGGGTGGCGGCGTAGGGGGTGTCACACCGGCAGGGTTTTCCCGCGGCGGCGCAGCACGGCGCTGAGGAGGCCGCCCAGGCGGCGCAGGCCGGCGGTTCCCCCGGGCAGGGCGGCCAGGAGGGCGACGGCGGCAGCGACCATCTGGGCGACGGCGCCCAGCACCGTCAGGAAGGTGCTGCGCAGCCCCAGGGCGGCGTACAGGGTGCCGGCTAGGGCGCCGAGGTAGAGAATGGTGCCGCCGCCGGGTTCCCGCAGGAGGCGGGCGGGCCCCCGCAGCAGGGCGGCGGCGGCCAGGCCGCAGAGGGAGCCCAGGGACCAGAGCAGGGCGAACTTGCGGGCGCGGAGCAGCAGCAGCGGCGCGTACAAGGCGGCCAGCCCGAAGCAGAAGGCGGCCAGCAGCAGGCACAGCCCGCTGCCCGCCAGCCGCTGCCAGCGCGACAGCCCCGGCAGCCAGGGGTCCGCCTCCGCCGACCACGGCCACCCCCGGCCCGGCCCTGAGGCGGCCGAGGCCGGGAAGGGGTTCAGCGGGCCCAGCCAGGCCCCCAGGCCGCTGC